CTGAGCACACTCCAGGGAGCCTTCGAGTCTGCAAGCGGAAAAGAGATTATTATATTCTTTTTCAGCTGAGATTTGAGCTGGCAAAGTGGTAGAGCAAATTGAGCAAGCTCTTTCAAAGAAGCTACTAGTAACAAGGTGCATCGCTACTAGTAGTAAGAAGCTACTAGTAGTAAATGAGCTCTTTCAATTTGAGGATGATGTGTGCACAAAGGGTGCCCATGTGGCCTGCCCAACGCTAGTAGGTTTCATTGCTAGTAGGTTTCTGGTTTTCTTTATTTTCGATCGTTCTTTTTAAAGAATCCGATCACCTGGTGGGCTCAGGCTGCTCCAGTGCGCCACCACTTGGGGGACACGGGCGTGCGTATGTTGGCAACGGCCCTTAGGTACCTCAAACGAAACAGAATGAAGCAAAGGACTTGCTTGAAGTTGTTTCCAAAAATGTGGTTTTAGGTTTTGTTGGTAGCTGCAGTTAGTAAGTTTTGCCCCTAGCCTTATCCAAACCTTGGGTTTTGAAAATGGTTTTTCTCAGGTATACGTTTTGGTTCAAAGCACCTGTTTTGCGCTGTTCCCCAGACTGCCAGCAGGGGCCTACACGCAGTCTGCACAAACTGTGGCAAGTTTGTTTGAGTCGTGAAGTTGGCTTGATGGTCGCAGAAGCTGGCCAGTGCTGCGGGAGCTTGGGCTGTGATCACCTCAGCCTGAAATCCTTTTGCATCATATTGCGAGGGCTAGTGCGGCTAGCGATACAAATTCCTGCCGGCAGTGCGGACAAACTCCCATTTTAGTTCACAGCTATTAGTAATATATACACCAAAGAATTCCTACCTAATAGCAATGGCAACTCAAGAGCGACGGCCTCCAACCTAATAGCAATGGCCTCCAACCTTAGAGCGATGGCCTCCAACCTTAGAGCGATGGCCTCTAACCTAAGAGCGATGACCTCCAACCTAATAGCGATGGCCTGCAGCCTAAGAGCGATGAAATCCAACCTAAAAGCGATGGCCTGCAGCCTAAAAGCGATGGCCGCCAACCCAATAGCGATGGCCTCCAGTGTAGGACATTTTCACACTCCTAATGCCTTTGCCTTTAAGCCTTTTCTTTTGTTTTTGTTTTCTTTTCTTTCTTTGTGAAGCTCGGTTTGGTGTTTGGATTTTTATTCAAATTCAGTCTGCCCAAGGCCTGGCCTCAATGTCCAGAGCCAAGTAGTCGCGTTCTTGCTCCTAGTGGTACGGCCAGGAGCCCCTAGTAGCTTCTTGTCGCTAGTAGCGATGCCAGGAGCCCCTAGTAGCGTCCTTGCTCCTAGATGTGGTCGATTTTTATGGTTCGCGTCGCCCTATACTGCTGTTATGTATCATCCTCGTCCACGTGCATTGTGTTTTCTGAGTCAGGTGATGTTCGTCCGCAAACAAGAATGACAAAGTAGAGAAAAACGAACCCATCCTTTTCTTTAAGTCTTGTTGGCGGCATCATGCAAGTGATGCCAACAGAGCAGCCTTGTGTCATTGACATCCCACAGCCATCCTAGGTGTTCAATTCATGTTCCGCCTCAAGCTGCCCCGAAAGGAAGAACCAATAGCGATGGCCTCCAACCTAATAGCCTAGGGGCTCCCTGCCCTCCTTACTTCATCAAGTAGGCGCCTTGTTAATTAAGCAAGGGGGTACGCTACTAGGCTAAGTTCGCTCCTAGCTAGGACTGACTATGCATTTCGTATGAAATCTGCCCACACGCAGAGTTTTAAATTGGTCCACATTTGGTTCGGCTCTCAAGGTCACGCGCTGGGCCAGTGCAGCTCTTGGCAAAGCGGTGGCCGCATCGCCATGCCTCAGATCTTTGGATCTAAGCAGTTCAATTCTCAGCGAAAGGAAGAACTAATAGCCATGGCCTCCAACCTACTCCAACCTAAATACAATTCTCAGAGTCTCAGAGATGCAATGGTTCCCCATGCAGGGTCAGTCGAGTTTTTCCCCATGCTACACACCTGCCTGGTGGTACTATTTCAAGAGAGCGGCTTGTTACCAGAAGAAATGAAGAGGCTTTGTCCACAGTTCTATACCCTTCTTGGTTCTTATCAAATCTTAGGGTTTCGATATATTTTCCATGTCAGAGCACGCGCAGAGACGTTTGTCACACATCTAAGAGCAGACATTGTGATGCCCTCATAACATTGATGCGAGTGGGTGTTTGTAATGGAGCGGCCGCATTTAGGGGCCGAAAGGCAGTTTATCACATCCACCAGCCCTCAGGTTCACTTTTGACGTCGATTGGGTGGACCCATCTCATTTGCCAGGCAAGATTGGCAGCAATGAGCTATGAGCAGTATGGAGGCCATCGCTAGTAGGTTGGAGGCTATTACTACTAGTAACAAGAAGCTACTAGTAGATATTTGCTATTAGGTTGGAGGCCATTGCTATTAGGTTGCCTCTGCGATGTTTTGGATGTGAGGCAGAGCACCTGGGAGGCTTTGGAGGCAATTTGGTCTCTTTGATTCGTGACAACTTTTTCTCTCCGCTGTTCGCCTCAGGTGACCGAAGAGTGAAACTTGTGATTGCTTCGGATGATCCAGTGCACGCTTTGTCCTTGCCTAAGTGCTATTTGATGCATGCCGCAGCTGTGAGCGAGTCACTGTCAAGTCGGAGGAAGTCAAGTCGGAGCACGGAGGGAGTGTGAGAGAGAGACTGGGTGGACACGTCTCACGGTGTCTTACGGTCTTGTTTTAGGAGGGGCTTGGTGCGCTCATCGCCCACTTTCAAGGAGGTGCGGGCAGCGGGGCGCAGTCTCAAACGCTCAACAAGTCAATTGCTCATGCTGAGGTAAACGTGGCCAAAGTGAAGGCTGGCAAATGAAGTGAAGCGAGGGAGAGAGAGAGAGAGAGAGAGGGGAGTGAGAGAGGGGGAGTGAGTTAGTCCAGTTGCCTATAGTTGGCGTGTTGTGGATTTGCTCCACTGACAGGGCGAGGGGTCGTTTAGCCCCCTCTTTTGGGTCGTTTATCCCCCCGTTTACATGGGAATAGTTTTGAGCCAGCGGTCTTGTGCAGCCAGTCTCGCCAGGGAATGTGCACACAGAGGTCTTGGACACACAGGTCTTGGACAAATAGGTCTCGGACATAGACGTCTCGGACACAGGTCTCTGACATACAGGACACAGAGGTCTCGGACGCGCGTGTATCTGTAGGAGGTCTCGGACATAGGTTCTCGGACATTTAGACGAGGTCTCGGACACCGACATTGAGGTCTCGGACTCAGAGGTCTCAAACATAGAGGTCTTGGACATCCAGGTCTCGGACATAGAGGTGTTGGAGATGGAGGTCTCGGACGCAGAGGTCTTGGACACAGAGGTCTCGGACATAGAGGTCTCGGATGCAGAGATCTCGGACCCAGAGGTCTCGCACATAGAGGTCGCGGACAGTCGGAGAGATGTCGGACATGCGCGGATGTGTCTCGGACACAGAGGTCTCGGACATAGAGGTCTCCAAAATCGGTACCCAACATAGCGTAAGTGTCGAAAGTGCGTTCACAAGAACGTTAATATAGACCCCACCC